CTTTCTTTCTTTCTTTCTTTCTTTCTTTCTTTCTTTCTTTCTTTCTTCCTTCCTTCCTTCCTTTCTTTCTTTCTTCCTTCCTCTCCCCTCCTTTTATTGCCATTTTTTTCAGATGAGGTTGCCAATATGGATTAAATTCTGATCTCCTTGAGCACCCTCCTTCTTATTCATCATCTTCCTCTTTGCCTTACATTTACATATCATTCTATAGTTTACAAAATGCTTTCACGTTCATTATTGCATTTTGATTTTTAGGACCATGTGAGATAGGCCAGGCTGGTGTTACTACCCCCATTGTAGAGATCAAAAAATTGAGGGGAAAAGAAGTTAAATGATTTCTCCAATGCCACCCAACCAGTAAGTGACAAAGCTGAGCATAGCACTCAAGATTTCTGCCTTCCAGTCCAATAAGTGTTTCACAACACCATGTTCACTCTAACTGCTATGTGACTCTGTACCCCTTAATCCCTTTAGCTGAGGTTGATTCAAGTTGTGGGAACCTGAGGGTTCCCTTTGTAAAGGGAAAATAGCTAGGTGCAGTGACAAGAACAAGAAATAATGATGATAATAATAGATCCACTTTGGATAAGGTCTAATCATCAAAATGTTTTCCCTTAGATTGAGCCTACATCTGTCTCTCTACAAATGCAATCCACTGCCCCTTTATGGGGAGTTAGGTGGCACGGTGGATGGAATACCAGGCCTGCAGTCAAACTGATCTTCCTGGGTTCAAATCTGGCCTCTGGATAGGTCACTCTACCCTGTTTCCCTCAGTTTCCTCATCTGTAAAATGAGCTGGACCAAGAAATGGCAAACTACTCTAAAACTTTGCCAGTAAAACCTCAAATAGGGTCATGAAGAGTCAGAAATTACTGAAAACGACTAAACAGCAACAAGACCCCTACATATACATCCATGCCATGCCCTTCTTTTCATACTTCACCCTTTTTCATCTGTAAAGTGAGGGGGAAAATACATTCTTGGAGAAGGTCCTAAGGGCTCAATAGGAGATGAAGGCCAACAATCCCATCTTCTCTGTAATCCCAAACCCCTACAATCCACTGGGACACAGGATATAGTCAGCATTGCAGTTTAGCTTGGGCACCACAAGGTGGCGCTTCACCGCATGTTCTTCAGGCTATTAACTAGCCCCGCATCAAAGAACAAGGAAGGGGTCTGGTACAATAGGAGGTGGACAAGAAGCCCAGTCAGAACAACAACACAGAAATCAACACTGAAGGTAAGAGAAGCATCATTAGGGGAATATTTCTGTGCATGGTGACAATAAAGAAACAATGCATATCCATTCCTTTGGTCTAAGTGGCTCAATCACTAAGCCAAAGGAAGGCCTGGGCCCTGTCCAATGACAAAAAAAAAAAAAAAAAAAGAAAAAAAAGTGAGGCTTCTCTGGAATAGAATCACACGATCTCTTAGCACTGGAGGGGCCAGGAGTGATCATCTACAACCAGATCCCTAAAGGTGGCCTATCATTGCTTTGGGGGCCAATCTGTGCCCAGAGGCCAAGATCCCAGAGCAGAAGAGGGAGGCAGGTTGTTGGGAAGGAAGGTAGTGCTGCTAGGTCATTGATTTTTCTGGCTGGCTCAGTTAATAGTGGGAGGCACAGGTGTAACTTCACATGGAAACCAGAAGATGGCAGCGTGGACCCGTAGTTTATTACATACACCACCATCTTTCTCTCTCTTCTGCCCCAGAGTTTGCAGTGACTTTGAAGCTGATTAGAGGGGATGAAATGAAAAGACTGGGGAGATCTCATAGCTGAGCAACGTTAATTTCTACACAAGTGAAATTTTGAGGTTGAGGCCTCCTTTTCTTCTTTTTTTTACCCTTCCTACCACCAATACCTTCTCTTAAAACAGTATCTGGTAAACTATTTACTCTACAATTTAAATGTCTAACAAGGCTTAAAGGCACAGTAGGATGAATCTAATTGTGAAATTTCAGACATCGATAAGTAGATACATTCTTGTGGCCTGTTTTCAGGCAGGCAAGCCTTCCAAAGGAAGTTAGCTCTTAAGAACCAGGACTATTTGTCATGCAACTAACCTATCTGTAGAACAATGGGACTTTTGTAAGATCCTGGAGAGAGAAGAAAGCTGAAAGGCCACCTAGCCCAATTCATTCTTTTCAAAGAGTTGGAAACCAAGACTCAAAGAGATTTAACGTCTTACAGAAGTTCATAGGTAGTAAGAGTAGGGGATGAGGCTTGAACCCAGCACTGAAGAACTCAATAGCTAACCATCCAATGACTGGTTGTTTTATTTTCAAGTGGCCTTTTAACCTGGTGGCTTCAGATCTTTTTGTCCATAAAGGTAAAACCATAGATTTAGAGGTAGTCCCTGGGTTTGAATCCCAGGGTTCCAAATCTATATGAATTGGGGGCCAGTCACTTTATCTCTCTGGGCCTCAGTTAGGTTATCTGTGAAGGATCCCTCAAGTTCAAGCCAGTTCTAATGTTCTTTATCACTCCAAGAGAAACATCATATGGTCTCTCTCTGTATTTATCAAACATTCTTGTTCTTAGAAGGCAGATGGATAATGATGGAGAGCAACTAGCTTCCCTGCAAGAACTTTGGAATATTCTGGGGGACCAGTTATAATAAGTGGGGGAAACAAAAAGTTTGAAACCGGAGTGGATAAGAAGCAGAAAGAGACAGGAATACGTAGCTGAAAGACAAATAAAGGAGTGGGCTTCCTTCCCCTGGGATTGCGCCAGCACCTGGCCCAGGCAGCTGACAGAGTCTCCTTCCCCAGATGCACCTGTTTCACTGGGAGCTCAAGAAGGCTGACCTCTGTAAGAAGAGAGCCCAAGGCTGAGTCTTTTTTTCTGCGCTACCTCCAGCTGGCATACCATTGCCTTAGGCTATCTTTTCTGCAGGTCATTTATCCTGTTGAGCTCAGACTCCTATACAGTACACCCAACCTGATGACGTACCCTCCCTCCTGATCTCACCTGTCCTTAATGTTTTCCTGCAAAGGAGAGGCCACAGCCTGCCTCTGTCTATCTAAATTGATATCTTCCACCCCTCAACTCTGACGCATACCATCTTCATCAGTCCTGCGGCAATTTAAAAGGTTTTTCCTCTTCTCTCTTTTCTGGAGAAGAGATC